AACATCAGCCTTCCTGCTCCTCCGATGCTGCTTGGCCTGCTGTGTTCATCCAGCTCTACACCTTGTTATCTCTTGTTTATTTGGGCTTCAATAAAGCCTTTGATAAAGGTTCTGCATAGTAGACTGATTAGTAAAATTAGATCACATGACATTCAGGGTGATCTTGCCAATTGGATACAAAATTGGCTTTACTGTAGGGGACAGAGGGTGGTGGTGGTGGAGGGCTGTTTCTCAGACTGGAGGCCTGTGACTAGTGGTGTTTCATAAGGATTGGTACTGAGCCCACTTTCGTTTGTCACTTGTATAAATGATTTGGATGAGAGGCATGGTTAGTAAGTTTGCAGAGGATACCAAAATTGGTGGTATATTGGATATTGAAGAAGGTTAGAGTCAATAGATGTGAAGCTGGAAAAACACAGCAGGTCAGACAGCATCCGAAGAGCAGGGAAGTCAATGTTTCGGGCCGAAACCCTTCGTCAGGAGTTGGGACAGTAAGGGGAGCCCAGAAGTTAATAGAGGGAGAGGCGTGGGGCTGGGGGTGGGTAGGAGAGATGGTGATAGGTGAATGCAGGTAGGGGGCTAGTGTGGTTGGTCAGTGGGAAGGGTAGGGTGGATAGGGGAGCAGGAAGATGGAGAGGTTAGGTCAGGTCAGGGAGGTGAGGAGGAGGGAGAGGATTGGACATGGGATAGGGCTGGGTTTGGAAGGATTTTGAAGCTGGTGAAGTCGATATTAAAAGGACGTTGGGCTGTAAGCTCCCAAATAAACCTTATCAAAGGCTTTTCCAGCTTCACATCCATTAACTCTGACTCTGACTTCCAGCATCTGCAGTCCTTACTGTCTCCAAGTGAAGGAGGTTATCTAAGATTACACAGAGTTCTTGATCAATTGGGTTATTGACCTGAGGACTGGCAGATGTAGTTTAATTTGGTTAAATGAGAGGGATTGCATTTTGGTAAAACAAACTAGGGCAGGACTTAAACAATTAATGAGAGGGCCCTGGGTAGTGTTGTAGAAAAGAGAGACCTAAGAATTCAGGTACATAATTCTTTAAAATTTGTGTCACAAGTACACAGGGTGG